CATCGAGCAGACCTGGGCTGAAGTGATAGCGATGCTGCTTCTTCTGCAGGGAAAATAACGATTTTTGTTTGTCTCTCTGCCTCCAGAGTGCCTCGTATAGCACGCTGCAGCCAGCTCCAGCAAACGAATTTCGACAGGTCGTTAAAAATTTGTTTCAACATGCGATGGTTTTGCGCAATTTATTGGTTTTCTTTCGATAACTCTAATTACAAATCACGATATACTTTGGTATTTTTTATTATTCACTTGGAAGTATTCAGTTAGTGCGTCATTTTTACCAACATTCAATAAATTTGATGAACAATAACAATCATTATTCCACGAGTATCTGTAATCTTGTGATTATTTGGATAAAAATTCAGTTTATCTCTTGCTTATTTGGAAAAGAATTCGGTTCCTAATATATTTACGCAGGAAATAAATCCAACCAATTCACAATATTTGGATGAATGTAGCCGCTAACATTAAATATTGTAAAGCTCGGCAACACATTCCTATTGAAGGCAAATTGCTGTGAGTAGGAGTAATGTTCCGTGACTTCGGGGCTTAGTCTTAACTGTGAGCATACCGCCCCCCGCCCATATGTCTCATCTCCTCACGAGACACGGCGCTATTCCAGCAAAGTCTTCAAGTGACACTTGACCCATGACCTCGTGCATAGCTGTCTTTCCCGTGCCCTTCAACCTGTGGACACTTCAGTGGTCTTCCCAGGCCTTGCTTATGCGCCTTAATTGAAGCCTGTGCGGGCTTCTGCTTCAGTCGGGTAGACCAAGACCTCTCACTTGAACCTACTTCATGGTGCCAGATGGCGCTCACGTTTTCATTATATTCATGCTCCGGAAGTGTTTTGAGTGATATATTTTTAATGATGCTTCGACAATATTTCATTCATTGTTGGAAATGGATGAAGCATTAAGATTTGCAATCTCGGTCCTTCACGATTACCCCTTGTCGATAATAGTAAAGAAATGTTAGAGCTTGTTGTATGCTGGTATCTAACTCAGCATAATAGCTGTATCTCGGTGTGAAGCCCTCTTGAAATGATACCGGACTCGCGAACTCTATAAAACTGCTCATGATGTACAAAGTTATGTACGTTTGAACTCATACCTCTATATGTTACTGCTCAAATCATATCTTCAAGAATTTTACAGCAGATAAAACGCCAAGAAAATTCATGATATCTTTATCAAAACTTTTCGATGACCAGGTTCATCATCCGTGCAATATATAGAGAACAGTCAAATTTAAACGCAAGATGTTAATATCTAAGTGCCGTTGGAGCTGGTGCAGCTGGTTTGCGAAACTTTTCTGATGAAGATCTGATGAATTTTCTTGGCTTATTCTTGGTGTGTAAATTTTTTATAGTTGAGTGGTGCGAAATGATGTGGTCGACTGAAGGTTGCTAATCAGGGGCTAGGGCGCTGCTCTACAGCCAGTTCGTAGTGCCCTCTCACTCGCGACCGCCTTGCTCGCTCAGCTGGAAAGTTAAGGTCGGTCGTGTTCGAGGTACGACTTGAAACACTTTACAAAACACGTTCTGCGATCGTTATCTCGAACTTGCGACTACATCTGATGTTATATGATAATATTATATGTAAGATATAATTTGATAAAGTATTAGATATAATTAGGAGACATTATTATCGGACATTTCTGCTCGTCAATTGATTTTTTCCCATATTCTCTGAGATCGTTCAATTAAGCATAGATATTTCAATATGGAGCCTTTGGCTTTGAACACTCGACAAGGTTTTGAAACAAAGTTCGTTGCGTGATACACGCTTCTATGCGCGAAGTAATCAAATCGGGATAATTTTGGGTTTCCGTGTACAAAACCATCTCGAGTTCTGTGCCATTAACCTTGAACGCCACGCGGGTTAGATCAAATACCCATGCTAGGCAGGTTAATGTACAAGCCTTATCTCGGGCGCGTGCTGAGAAGGCTACGAAAAGTAAGAAAATACTTTCACCTTTTTGATTTGTGGATAATATTTTACAAAATCCTCTATGTAGTAGTATTAGCATTATGTATGTTTAGCTGGATTAAAAATGCCAAATGTTGGTGCTATTCTCTTTCATTCTTAGGAATCAATTCTATTCTTTATTGATAAGTTCTTTTCTTTTTAATGCATTTCCATCATTTTTCGATGAATACATGCAGATATTTTAAAAAGCACTTTCCACTAAATTCAATGTTTCTTCCCGATGATTTTTCAAAATGAATCCCAAGCTATTCCTCAATCGGTTGGTTGTTAATACAAGAGGAGCTGGTAAAGATTGATCGTTTATTTGCTGTCGCCAACCACATGCAGTTATTTATTTACAATTGGTCTGTTGCTATTTACACCAACATGTAACCCTGATGATCGCATTTCTTTCCTTCCACTATTTCATTTGTAAGTCTTGCGCGACTTTGGTCTTTTCCCATGTAATTAATTGCGTTGCCAAACATCAATTACAACAATGGATTTCTAGTGTACTTTTTTCTTCCGAAACATTGACCTCGAACTTTCGCCTATGCCCTCCTCCCTACTCGTACGCTTCCTATCGACCCTCGCCGTCAATACTCGGTAAAACTGCCTATATTCCCGCGGAAAATCATTTTTTACTTGTATTGTTTGATTTGCTGTCGAAATTAACAAATACCGAAGCTTCGTAAATTCCGCTGAGCGTAAAGACTAACGCCCTTTTGTGGAGGGCGATCTGCGTTGATTATATTAAGGGCTTCGTATAATCAACGTTATTAAGGGCTGCGTTGATTATATTAAGGTCAGACTCCTTGAACTGGACGCTACGATTAATGTTAGCATGCTTGGTATTAAAGCGACTTCTTAATTGTTCTAATTACGCTGGGTGGGGAGAGGTTCATTTGAAATGGTTTTATTAGTTATTTGATATGTACGGCTGAGTAGCTTGGTTGGTGGCGGATCAACTATACAACGAGTAGCATAGCTTTGTTATATTCTATTAGAGATGCATTCATTGAGGGCAAATTGTCCCCTATGAGCATTTTATTGAGCTTGTTGGTAATTAATGGCTGTTGTTAAAAGTTGAGGTTCTCCTGTTTTGAATATTATCTTCCGATGACAGGTCGAAATGAGGCAATGTATTTTATTTTTATTGCCCTTTATTGAAAGGGTTGTATTGGTTTATTTAAATTATATCACTGCCGGTAAAATCTGCGCGGGTAAATGATCTCACAACTATTGACCTTTCCGAAAGGTAACTGCAGTGTATCCAATTAATTCTTCTTTGCCTTGTCAAACGTATGAATGCGGATTTGATTGCAGTTATTATACTTGTGAAATAAATTACCGTTCTGGTTAAAGTTGAAAATTTATTGCTATACAAGCAATTTGTGCGTGAACATCTCTCACTCCAAAATATTCTTTTTAGTGAAATCAAGCACCGGCCAATCGATTCTCCCCTTTGAAACTGTGTAGCTTTAGCTCGTCTCCCCATTTTGTGTACGCTACCCTCGTTCTCGAGTTGCACTAGAGAAGTTTCTATATAATCTCTTCGTAAAATTTCTATTCAAAACATCACGTCTTGGCCGTTGAAAAATCAGCACTGAAATTTCTTTCCGGTTTCATCCCGGCATTCGATGGTCGCGTAGATTGTATTGATTCGGTCGATTTGTGTTGAATGTACATATTTTTCATTGTTTTGAATCATGGAAGCAAATTTACTAAATTGTATTGTTTTTATGGACAGAATCTGGTGATGAAGTATGGATTTTTCCCAACGTTTTTTTCATGTGTCACCATCATCTGTATTGCTACATGCGTGAGTTTTACTTGTGACATCGTGCCGCTGTTGCTCAGAGTTAACCCTTCCCTTTTGTTATCAGCCCTCACTTTTGTTAGGCTACGATTGCTTAGCCCTCAGAACCCTCGTGTGTTGCACAGTCTGCTTCGGTCGATATCCGTATATTCGATACCATGCATTGATCGGTCGTGGCTGCTGCTGCAGCAGCAATCTCTTCTTCTTCAGCTGTGCATCTCGGCCCGATCATTCATTGTTTTATTTTAGCCTGATAGCATTCAAGCTATTGAATGCCTCAATTGCTTGCATATTAGTTATAGTAATTATGCTGACATTGCGCTTATTTTACTGGATTTGTTGAATTCGTGCGTATATATGTATGGTAAAGAAAAACGAACACTGAGTAATTTGGAACTCTAATCAAGCGTGGACTGAACTTGGTATTTTTCACGTTATCGATATCGGTGCTTTCAAGCTGTTTATATATCGAGGATAAAGGTTATTTAGCAGGTGATGCAGTTTGGTTGGTGTTGATGGCTATGCATAGGTGCTTGATGGAAAGTTATGATTCAGAGAAGGATTTTGTAGTAATGGAATTTTGAACCTATCCGAAGAATCAAATTGTAAATGAGAAATGTCGTTCTTGAGCTTATATACCTCGCTTAAGATTGATTTTACCCAAAGTGACGCTATTTTTCAATGTATGTATGGTACAGCAGGTTCTTATTTAACCATGCTGTAATTTCTTATTTGAAAATAAGAAGCTCCTGTAGTTAAGAGTGTAGTTAAAGTAGCCGGTGCAGCAGGTATAACGGACACAAGTTTAGACATGCGTGTAGCCAGGCTACGTTGATGGGTATGACCGAGCAGCCCAGCGATGCATGGACAGTGAAAGGCGAAGCTCGATCTCCAGGGTCACTTCTGACCCTCAATAAAGAAATTCTCTTGTTGCCTCAAGACACATAATAACGCTGCCTGACAAATCCTCCGAGGAATCCTTCAAGCTTTTTAGTAATGTGACAAGCATTTGTTGCAAGAATTGTATTCAAAACTGGGGGTTACTTGTGATCAAAAGCAAAATGTTAGGTGTACTTTGGTCGAGTCAAAAGATTTACTGACTTGTTCAGTTATATATTTGATTTCGTTTTAGGTTCACATTTCTTCAATCAATTGTGGGTTTGTTTTGATCCCTAAGACTCCAAAAAATATCATCAATGGAAGCTTGTGAAAGCATGAGGTTGTCGACCTTGGGTGATGGTTTACGAACTCGCATCGAACTTCAGGTTGCCGAGTCCAGCTCGCGTCAAGTTCGTCTTGATTTAAATCCGTGCCTGCTCACAATTACGTTTTCGCGGGCAACTTGGAACTGGATAATAATTCTTTTTGTAGTACCACACCTTCTTCTCATACATTTATTATGGCTAATTCATGCGGAACTCAAATGTGTTGGTTTAGAGTTTGTGTTCTTTTCGAAAAATGCTTTTTCATGCCCATGCAATTGAGAATAATAGGTTAATAGTTTCAAAATGATTTATTTTGTTCAAAGTTAATTTTTGATTCGGTACACACGCTAAATAATTATTAATTATTTCCCTAGATTTGTATCACTAATTTCTTACGTTTATTATACTCAACACATGACAGAAAGAATCGGCAACGAGTGATAGCGTTCAAGTTGTTTGCCTTGAAAGTGCGCGTTCTGACGACTGCACACCTCCAGTCCCACGGGTTTCTGCTAGGCATGAGGCGCTAAAATCCATTTATTCGTGGTGCGGGATTTCTTCTCGTTAGTTTGGTGGTGCGTGATGCGGACTAAAGCTTGCGTAATCTCGCTAATTCAATCGCACTTCTGACCGAGTGCTGTTGACTTGTAGGTGCGCCGCACTGAAAGATGTTCGTGCAGCCTTGATTCGGCGTCCCATGGTGCAGGAGGAAATGTAGTCGCTGAGTCTTGATTGGAAGATGAAGTAAATATTAGTTACGTACTTTTTTGTCTTTTTTTCTTCTTTGCTTGGATAAGGTTCTCGCGAATAATTAATGGTGATATTAGCAGTGGATTTAATGAAAAATGTGAGAAATCCGATTTGAAATACCGGTATTATAACTATTTTATAATACATCGTGGCAGGTTATGGAGCGGTTTGTCGATGTAGCCAAACCCGTCAGGATTTCTGTTCATCAATTAAAATAACGGCGTTTAGTCCTTGAGCAATCTTGTGCTGCAAATCTAGTTAAAATTTCGCGATGAGTATTCGTTTTTTTTTACTCCCATGTAGTTTGTAGTTCTCGTGCAATGGTTTGTCCGCTCCATTGTAGTGATCGCTTTTGTCTGGGTAGTTTTTTTTTCCAAATGACTCTTTTCGCATTTCCGCTGCTGCTTTGTCTCTTCTATTTTTACTTCTTTTCATTTCGTTTTGTGTGTTGGATTTTTTCATAGGTTCGTACGTATATATACGACCGTCGGCCTCCTCCAGTTCACTGCAGGACATCGCGTTCATTGTTGAGCGCTGTATAGCCGAGGCTGTTCTGCTAGTGACTAAAGTTTTACTTTAAGAGGAATTGCCACTACGGCTCCTTCTTTGCAACAAGGATGACTTAAGTGTTTGTCACGATGTCTTTTGTCGCTCGTGATTTGGGTCTGAGCCACGACTCTGCAACACTGTGGCCGACTTTTCAAACTGACATCGTTAGAATTTCTTGGAAACCCATGAATTGTTTTCGTGGGTCGCAGGTAAATGATAGCGCTGGCATCTTTGTTTTTATTTGAATGGGAAGACAGTTCTGTCAATTGCACACTTAATTTGTTGGCTACCGCCGCGAAATGCGGCTGCTTCTCATCAGTTTTTATTCGCATTTAAAGTTTCTTCTACTAAATTAACTCATTTCGGGTGACCTCCAATTAAGTTAGGCTGACATCAAATTATGGATATTTGAATCGATTTGGGGCTCTTACACTTCCAACTTCTTCAATCAATTCACAAAAAAGAGTATCAATTAAAATTCGTCTTAGTAGGTGATTTTTTAATCTCTCGTTAACCTATGTCTCCAATTGTAATTAAACGGAAAATTCGTTTTAAATTATCGGTATCTATTTAAATTTAAACATTTAAGTTGGCTGAATACCTAATTTAATTTAGTTCAATAATTGAAAAACCCGAGATCTTTTTGGCGCGATACTTCCTGTGTTTGAAGAATACCTAGAACAAGTCCCAGGCTGAGTGCAGAGGGGGTATAATCAGACTGCCCTGGATCCTGTCACCAAGTCGTGTGCAGGATGAAGCTCTTCTGCTCGTGAAGAAGCGCCACCACAATCATTATACTGCCAAGATTTTATGCTAACGCCTGCAGGCGATAAGGCGCGTCACCGCATCACGATTTGATACATCATGAAGCCGTTTTTTAGCCCATTTTCTCATTTATGAAAAAAAATGCACTATTGTGCTCGCCATGTCCGTCTCCGTCCGTCCGTCTGTACGTCTGTCTGTCTGTCCGTCTGTCTATCCGTCCGTGACTTCACGTTTTTGTCGACGAGAAAACGCGCTCTCTGTCACTCACTGCAATGAGTAATGAGTTATATTTTTTTGCCTATGCAAATATTATAACTCGACGACTTAGTTGAAGTTAAAGTTAGAGTTAAAAAAATAAAAATTACATTAGTGTTAATACTTAATAGAAATGGAATAACGTTTATTGGACGATACAAATCTGCTAACAGGTAATATAAAGTGACATTGTTTCACCAGACACGAGGTTTACTTTTTCATGCCGTTTTGATTCCCTGTGAACGGCATTTAATCTTTTAATTTGCATTACGTAGGGACTCTCAAATCCTAATACCCATTCTCACCATTTTTCGATAGATCGACACAATTTTTCATTATTCTAATTCCAAGATTCAGGTATGGCTTACTATGTTTCTATTTCATTATTTTAACTTTCTTCCACGCACCTGTTTCCAGTTTTCCCCGCATTATTTTCTATGGGTAAACATTATAATTTCACTTCAGGTTGTGACTGTGAGCATCGATGACTGCGACACTGCCGTGGCAGTAGGTCATGGGGATCGAGTGGGCGGTTACTACTGTGCAAATACTACCACGAAGCAACTGCCGCCGAGGTACAGTCCTACTTACAATCATAGTTTTATGTTCAAGAAATGAGCGTTAATATTTTTCTTCTTGGTGGGTCGTGCTTCAATGTTCGACGAGAGCCTTTGAAAAATCGTGACATACTAATCGTTAACACGTTGACTACGATTGCTTCATCTTGTACTTTTGTTTCATTTTTCTAGTACTATTATGGAACAGGGTTGCCAGACTTTCTTTTTTTACCGGACAAATTCCACGATTTAGTTTTTTTCAATTTCGTTGGTCGGCTAAAATTTATGATATGGGTTGTAAGGGGCACTTCCTAATTAAATAAAAAAAATTATTTTTCCACCAGAACCTACAAATAAACTAGTATATATTGAGTTATAGGCCTTTATGGCCTTTTTGTTCACGGACTTAATTGGCCGTTTTTTAGGCCATCTGGCAACCCTGAATTATGTACCAGGAGAAATAAATTTCGTGGTACGCATATGTACCACTTCGTAGTCAACGTGTTAAAGCCTTCTCTATTTTACTCTTGTTTTCCCGTAGATGAGATTTTGAGAGAGGCGGAGGTTTTTAAAATAATAATAATGAAATAAATTAATGAACAGAAGCCAAATTTTTTTCCTCTATTCTCTGAAGAAAATAGAAATAGAGAAATGCTGCAAAATATTCGCCACCGCCTCCATTTTCACACAGCAACATAACCCTCTCGCAAGCTTTGTTTAGGAGCCCTTAGCACCATCAAAGCGAAGGGCCTATAACGCTGAACAACTTGCGCAATATTCGGACATGTGTAAATGATCGTATTGTATCCTTTAAGATCACGGAAAAAATGCTGATTCTTATGTGTTTAAAAACCCCAAGGTGATCGTCAGAGCGAAATAACCTAATATGAAGGGCTTCTAATTGTTGCGATTAAACTTACAAACTTATATGTTTTGGTCTTGACTTGGGTCTAAAAACTGTCACATTTCATTGGTTCCGTTGTTCTTTTACATATTAAGCAATTCCTTCTAGATGTTGTTCCATTTTGTATTAATAATGTTGGTATCTTTTTTGCGCATTTTCTCATTTCTCGCTCACCATCTCCGTCTGTCCGTCCGTGACTTTACGTTTTCGTCGACGAGAAAATGCGCTCTTTTTCACTCACTGCAGTGAGTACTGAGTTATATATTTTTTTATTTTCATCATAAATTCCGCAGCATTTTTCCTAATGTAAACCCCATGTTTTTATCCCAGATGTGCAAGTCACCGTGCGACCTGCAACAGGTTCCTCGACATGACAGGTCCCCTGACATTTTGTGTTATTAATGTTGTTATATTCTTTCTAGTCTTCATCTTCCAATTCCGCCGCATTTTTCTAATTTACTCCCCCGTGTTTTCATCCCAGATGTGCGAGTCACCGTGCGACCTGCAACAGGTTCCTGGACCTGACAGGGCCTCTGCAGGTGGGAGGTCTCCCCTCGCTCCCCGAAGGTCGTCGTGTGCAGCAGCAGGACTTCTTCGGCTGCATCGCTGACCTCTACATCGACCATAAATTCATAGACCTTAACTCGTAAGTTTTCTCTCTCAGCATAGTTGAACATTATAGAACAGAATAGAAGTGTTGGCACTGAAGAAATATGCCCATGGCCTGTTGCAAATTCTTGTAATTTTCGTGACTTGATTCACTAGGGATCCGGCCTTTGGAACCCGATCTTTCCCTAACTGACGATACAAGCATGTGAGAGTAAATGTTTCTTTATACACCTTAACTCGTAAATTTTTCTCTCAACATAGTTGAACATTATACAAGCATTTGAATGCTAAGAGGGTTAATGTTTCTTTTAGCGAATTTTTATCGCTAATTCACTAGTAATTTGATTTTTATTTTGTCAAGTAGCGTAGCGTCTTAGGCTTTTCTCCGAGTATTCTTGTAAAGTTCTTGGATGAATAGGCCTCTGCAAAAATGTTCAAAGAGCGAGTTTCAACGAAACATTGGTACATTCAACACTAAACTGGGGTTAAGTGCGCATCCTAAGTGAACAAAATTATTGGTGCATAAAAAAACGATTAGGATTCAATTCCTATCGCTTGTCATTATTCCTCTTGCCGTGCCAGAAACGTTGCTCCATGGAGCTGTCCCGTAGAGTGGTACTATCGACGTACCGCTTAGATTTCCATCAAGTTTATTATTGTTATAACCGTACAGTTTTGAGTGGCTGCACCGCACTTGTCGTCGTCCTGTTTTCGTAGTTTCAAAAGATGCTTGAGGTTACCACTTTATTGTTTTATTTAGATTCAACAACACACTTGCGCTAAGCAAGTTTAACAACCAACCACGCACACTTGCGCCTAGCAATGAGCATCGCTCTTAGCAAGAGTTTCAAGTTTACCTTGGTCAGCCCTCGCGATGCTCTCGGGTGACATAACATGTAAACAAACTCGCTCCCACAGTATTTTGCTCAGTCTCTTTGTCTATAAAGACATTTCCCGTTTTTAATTTCTCAACGACTTTCGACTACTCTCCACTTCTTTGCACAATCTATCTTTATCATAGTAATATTAGGTGAAGTCGGGAGTACATATTTATTCACATTTACCTATTACTTTGGTGCATAGTGTACATAATCCTCTCAATGTTTACGAATTTATAGATCCCAAAGTGCAATGTTTCTTCCTTTGCTAGTTCAGTTTTTTATTTTGTCTTTCTCCTTCTGAATGTTCTAACTTCAATGCGATGACAATTTTCTCGCTCTTCCAGGTTCGTCGCGGACAACGGAACATATCCAGGCTGTCCGGAGAAGCAGCGCTTCTGTCAGTCTCACCCCTGCCAGAACGGTGGCACCTGCCACGAGACTTTCGGCACCTACGTCTGCGACTGCTTGCCGGGCTGGGGTGGCAAGGACTGCTCCAATGGTGAGTTCACTTGATGATATAATTTCAGCACCAACGGCTGCAACCTAGTAATGAAATGATCAATAATTTCAGCTACTAATTCTTAAAGCGAGTAATGAGAATTGCCATCTCAGCGGCAATTGACCGCTGATTGAACTATGACTGCTCCAAAGGTGAGATGGTTTCACTTGGTGATATAATTTCAGCACCAACGTCTGCAACCGAGTAATGATTAATAATTTCAGCTCCTAATTCTTAAAGCGAGTAATGATAACATAATCTCATTGCATGTTTTACTTCGACGAAATAAATTAGATAGGTTAGATATTAGATAGATAGTCTCTGCCAATAGATTGGCAGAGACAGTGCATTACAGATGTGCAAGTGATTTAGCCAGATTCAATGTGCGAAAATGTTGGCCCGGCGCAATCTTCATCAGCTCTATTTTTTGTTTTTTAGAAACTAGGAAATAATCATTCTATAGATTTGTTACAGTCAAAGTGTGAAAATTGCTAAAAATTGAAACTCAAGACGTGATACTGGTCCAGGTATTTACAACCGTATATTCAAACTAAAATAACTAATTCGATGAACCATTTTACAGCCGTTGACCTCGTACGTCAGTTGGACGGTGATGGTTTTCTGATGTTTTCCCCGGCGCTGGAGCAAGTGGAGCTGCCGTGGCTCTCCAGCCTCGGGTTCAGGACCCGACAGAGTGCAGGGTTGCTCATGAGGGTCGCGCTAGGGCCTGGTGCTATCAGTGCACTCGAGGTGACAAGCTCATGTTTAAACTACTATAGAATTTAAAAATTCATAATTGATTTTAAAAATATATAAAGTTGTATTAAATAAATATATGTATATATAAATTTGTAATTAAATAATACAATCCTAGAGTTTAAACATCTTATGTTTCAACATCAACTATAGAATTTTAAAAATTCAAAATTCATTTTAAATATATATAAAGTTGTATTAAATATATAAATTTGTAATAAATAACTACACTTTTATAGTTTAAACATCTTATGTTTAAATATCAACTATCTCATGTTTTTTTGCAACATCCAATCTCGTGTTTGAAATATGATTCGAAGTAACAATAAGTTGCTTACTTAAATTCGATCGCCGATTTCATTATCTCTAAAAGTCGCCTTGTCGTTTTACTTATTCAAAAGGGAGGATGCGAATTTGAATATATGTATGTGAAGTTTTAATCTCTCACGCCTTTATTTTTTGCGATCTGAGTGTGATTTAAATTTCATGAATGGTTTCAATTATCATTGTCATCTAAGATTGAGTCTAATTTTAGTTTACAATACTCTTCTTGTACAGATTGTAGGAGGAGTGCTGCAGTACAGCTACGGCAACACCACCGTGCGCATCACTGAAGCCCAGGTTAGTGCACGTAGTAATAAGTTAATAAATAATTCGTTCCTGAGACATCCATTGTTATCGCAGCATTCTTTAAGATCTTGCAATAGTCAAGTTCTTGCTATCAGTCATAGAAGGTTCCGGCACTGCGTTACGGTACTTTAAATGTGCCGTACATATATCAAATTCCCTTATTAGTACATTAATTTACGAATCTCGTACAGGGATTCCTGTATTGAATAGGTATTGAAGCATATTAGAAACTTAGAAGCAAAGAAAACTACAAAAGTTTTCTGCTATCTTTATATTAAACGTTTTCAATGAAGATAGTATGAATTTTTGTGGAGTTTTCTTTGTTTATAAGTTTTTAGTGAATTTGCGATTCAAGCAAAAGAGTGACACTATTACCTTAAGCATGTTGATATATTTTTCAGACCTGATTTCTTGACAGGTTTGATACTGTGCTAAAAACTACGGTGTAAGATCATTCACTTCGCTTGTAAAGATACGTAATTATTTTTAGATATAAGAGAAACAAAATAAAACGTTAATTTCCCATCAGGTGGATGATGGAAAATGGCACAACGTGGAAGTAAAATGGATGCCTGGAGAAGTGTGGATAAGCTTGGATTACGGAGACCACGAGATGACTCGGCGCTCCGCTGAAAAAGTTTCAGGACATTACATTGACAAGATAAGCGTTGGGGGCGTTGAAGCCAGCGACAACGTGGATGTGACGTTCTTCAAAGGTTGTGTAAAGGTGTGTGATATGAATACTTTTAATTTTCTCTATATTTGCTTTCCAGATGCGAGTAATTTACCGCCAACCATCTAGTGGGTGGACTCTTTACAATGTAGCCTCGGATTTCCTTTGTTATAGTTGATCCATCATTCTTATGTTACTTCTCACAATTGTACATGTCGTATTTCATCTGAGTAATTCGTTCAAAATATTTCCACGTGCGGATACTTCACTGCGATTCCTATACTCGTTTTGTCTCTACCAGCTCGAGCTATAATACAATTTCAACCATGAAATTAATTCATATTTATTACAGGACGTAAAAATGGGAAGTCCCCGGAGCGTGGCGTTAGTGCCCAGCTTCGAGGGCGGCGTGAGCGAAGGCTGCTCGTCTCCTGACGCGTGTCGCACCAACCCTTGTCCTCTGAGCAGCATTTGTAAGAGTTCGTGGCACAGCTACGAGTGTGACTGCAACAAGGGATATTATGGCACCCGCTGTGTCGATGTCTGCACCTTGAAACCCTGCCAGAACAACGGCACTTGCGTGCTTGATGTCGACTCGAGACGTGGCTACCGATGTGACTGCAGGAACACCAAGCATGCTGGTGAGTTTTTTTTGTATTTTCAAGTATGGCTAACCTTTTACGATCTTCTAAAAAAATATAATCAGATGTAACACCGGTTTACATTTTTAACATTTTGCCGGTTACATTGTAACCGGCAAAGGGCACCCCTTTCAAGCACCGGCTTGGGCTTTCAAAGGGCTCCCTCTACAGGAAGGAAAATTCAACCTACAATTATTTTACGGGCGTATGCCTCATTATCTGTTCGATATTAAATATGGTGAACATTCTTTTTCAAATAATCATGCAATGGTTTAATAAGAAACAAAAAACACATAATGATGGACAGTACTACATGTTCGATAGACCCACTAAGCTGGCACACGAAGTATGTAGAGACAATTCGTCCGCCGTCGGAGGCCTTATTTCATTTGCAAATATTTTATCTTGCATTTATCCGATATCCCATCCCGGGTAAAATATGAAACTTAACTTATTAATATTTCAGGGGAATACTGTGAGGTGGCCGAAGCTAAGCCCTGCCCCAACACGTGGTGGGGCTACCCAGTGTGTGGCCCCTGCAACTGCGACGTCGAGAAGGGCTACGCTGGCGAGTGTAACAAGAGCACCGGCGAGTGCCGCTGCGAGGTGAGGATAGACTTAAGTAGCATCGATCATTACAAGCCTTCAAACACCCTGCAGTTATGACCACAGTAACTGCCAACGATTAGCTTTAGTTGTTGTATCATTAGTCATTACTAACTTTCAAACACCCTGCAGTTATGACCATAATAACTGCCAACGATTAGCTTTAGTTGTTAAAATACCTGGAATTCGATTGAAATATCATGCCAGTTTGGCACGGCTAAAAATTATCAAAATGAAATGCCATATTGAATATTAAACGTTGAATAAATTACTTTATGGATAATATAACTGTCTAACTTATTTTTCGTCTGTAGAAGCACCACTCGCGCAAAGCTTACTCAGCAAAATTTCAATTAAGTATTCAGTTAAATGTCAAAAGTTAATACACTTGCGATTCCTCATCCAGTAGAATATTAAAACTTATAACACTTCAATTCATTATCCAGTAGAATATCGAATTATTACTCTGCAGTTCCTCATCCAATAGAAAATATCGAAACTTAATATACTGCTATTCCACATGTGCAGACTAACCACTACCAGAAGAAAGACTCTGACTGGTGCCACCCCTGCGACTGTTACCTGGAAGGGTCGCTGTCGAGCAGCTGCGACCAGCAGACGGGACAGTGCCAGTGTCGGCCGGGCGTCATAGGGCGGCGCTGCGATCAGTGTGCTAACCCCTTTGCTCAGGTCCACATCTCTGGCTGCCAGAGTGAGTTTTTTAACAATTAAATCTTATACCGGTATGCTCGTTTTAAGTATCATTAAAATACAATGTGCTCTTGTTGGTAAATACTTAACTTTAGTTAACATCTGATTTGGTCATGAAACGAAATTGGGCACACGATTTTGCTGTAGGATTAGTAATAAAGTTTACGATGTTTGTTGTATTTACTATCAACGCTTATGAAATATTCGCATGGTTCGTTGCAGTTGTTTACAACGGGTGTCCCAAGAGCTTCCACTCCGGGGTGTGGTGGGGGGAGACAGTTTTCGGGGGGAGTGCGGTGCAGCAATGTCCCCCGGGGGCTGATGGCCAGGCTAGCCGCTACTGCGACCAGGACGTCGGCTGGGCGCTGCCCGACATGTTCAACTGCGTCAGCCAGACATTTGCACAACTCAAGGATGTGGTCAGTTATTTCTACGAGATTATTTATGCCTTCTTTTTTTCTAGTGTCAGTTTTAGCGAGATTTTTGCTGGCAACGGATTCATAAGTTAAATTTAATTAATATGCTGTTGTTATCCCCTTTCTTCGTAGAACTTTTATTTTCCGCTTTGTGCCACAAGTCAAAGGCGTTTGCTTCATCAGTTACATCATTAAGTTTGATGTAACTATCTATACAGCACATGTCGACCAGATTATCCCATAATCCGTTGATGTTCTGCAATAATGTTTCACTCGTCAGTTGGCTCAAGTGGAGGACGGTCGGCTGTCCATGTCGAGTTAACTGTATATAGCGCTTGTCGGTGAAATTATCCAATAATCCGTTGCTGCAATAATGTTTCACTCGTCAGTTGGCTCAAGTGGAGGACGGTCGGCTGTCCGTGTCGAGTTACGTGGCCATCAAGGTAGCGTCGGACCTGAACAACGCGTGCTCGGCCACGCCTGAGATGTGGGGCTCAGATGTGCTCATCACATCCCGCCTCCTCATCCTCTTGCTCGAACACGAGACCACACAACAAGGGCTCAACCTCACACATCGTCAGGATAAACATTATATTCAAGTGAGTCTCTCGATGACACACTGACCGATTTTTATTGGTTTATGTAAGAAATGAAAAAAATTTAACTTGTTTGGAAAAAGGGAAATTATTTGTATAACGTATAATTACGTTTTATCTGTAGTCACGAATTGTTATTATGAGTTAATTATAGCCATGGATAAGAAACTTATGACATGCATATATTTTACACGTATGTTATTTGTATGTTGTCACACAAATACCTGATTACAGAAATTGGACAGGTATTTCTCCTGATTGTTGGAAGAATAGTTCTTGCTAATGCCCTTTTTCCTGAGCAGAATTTAATGGAGTCCGCCAGTATCGTGATGCAGCCAAAGTATGCATCGCACTGGCACCGCATCAACGGCCTGCAGGGTTTCGGGGCAGACGCTCTTCTTCTTCAGCTCGAGAAATACTCGGAGACGCTCGCAGCCACGCAGGGCGACACGTTCACGCAACCTTTTGAGGTCCCAACCAATAACATCGGTGAGAAGCCCTACCTGTACCCCTGTACCATCGCTGGTTAGGTACTTCTTGGAGCTTGCCTCCATCTGTGATATGCTCTGTGTTCCTCCGTCGATGATGACCTGCAGTGTATCTCCATTGTTGAGATGCATTCTATTATTTCTAATAGATGTAGTCCACCAGTAGTACATTTCCGTATGATATTTTGTGAAATTTTTTGGCCACATTTACGCTCTTCCTCCGCCAAACCTCCGTCGCTGACGTTCGGCGTTCATCAGTTTTTATCCTGAATTGTACCTGCGTTTCTCTTCAGCAAAAGTTATTTGACTTTCTACCATTGCTTCTATCTCGTTTTCTGCCATTTTCTCCTCACTTATATCGTCTTCTAACATTGTCTCCTACATTATCCTCTTACAATGCCTAATTTCTAATTAGTTACACCACATATTTTTTACACTTCTTCATTCCTACACAGTGTTCGGCATGGACACGGTGAGCGCCTCAGAGTTGTACGGGACTCAGTCCAAGGTGCTTATGATGGGACATGATCAGCCCATATCACGTGTCACTATCCCTGAGGAGGCTGACCTCATGGACCATGACTTCCCTTTGGAGGGAGAAAAATCGTCCGTGATTGTCCCTAAGTACAGCAATTACTTGAAGAACCAACAGCGATGGGCGCACGGATCTTCTGCCCGCATTCCTCTTGAGCTGCTGAAACTTCCTGACGTCCAGAGAGGTAAGAGATTGTCGTATACTTTTCCCGCTAATCTGGATCTGTATCGTGGCTCTACAAACTTTCAATATTAACTCTAATATAATGAGTGTATGCCTTATTTCCGACCTTTAATATAAGTACACTATGCGTTTGAAGAAATTTATTTCAATTTCGTATTGTGTACTTTTTCCAGGAGACAAGTCATCAAGTTCCCAAATGCACTCATCCAGGGCGGTAGTGAGTTATATTATCACCCGTTCAATGGGCACGTTACTTCCCAATGCCTTTGACCGATCAGTGGAACAGCGCTGGGGAGTAGGTCTGTCCCCCAGGGCGCCGGTGATAACGCTGGCTGTCCGCACCCACAGCGATGACCAGGAAAATGAAGGCCAGCTTCTTAAAGGAGAAATATTTTTACCTGTCCGGCTGCAGTTCAGGCTCGAAGGCGTCGGAAAAAGAGCCAATCCTCAATGCGTTACTTGGAGCGTTGATAGCAGGTTCGTGCTATTCTCTTTTGTGGTATGCTGATTTAAACTTTTTCTGTAAACCTTTCCTCCAAGAACTTAGGCTCTAAGTACAAATAAAATCACTCTAGTTTTTCGACATGTGGGCAAATTTTTTAGTGTAATATATTCCCATTTTGCATTTTCGGTGATTTGTATGATTTTGTTTTCGACGGATTAATTTGGTAATCTCATTTAGTTTAGTTAATGATTGGTTTTATGCTGTAGTGGGGAAGGAGTTTGGAGTCGCCGAGGCTGCCATACGAGTCGGCCGCTGGAAGGCGTTGGCTTGTACAGCAACAGCTCCTTCGTGAACTGCACCTGCACGCATCTCTCCAGCTACAGCGTCCTGCTGAACGATGCAGAAGCTGAGGTCAGCGCTTCCGGATCTTGCAAGAATCATAGCTTTACTGCTCATTCCAGATACAGGAAATAGCACAAATACTTTTTACCTCCGGCGAGTTTATTGTAAATCTACATACAGTTAATTTTTCCGCTTCGTTTTTTATGCGTTATCTCCCAGTTACTTTTTTAATAAGGAAAAAATATTTTTATCGTGGAAATAACTCGTATTTTATTTACTCTTTTCGTCGTAGCTCTCTTAAAAAGCATTTCTTAGAAGCACTCGTTGAGCCACGCTCTGTCTTTTACTACATGCAAATGAAACAAAAACCACAACCCTTATTTTAAGATAAAATAAGTCTCTTTTTGTTGCTTCATTTATATTTTCATGTAACAGTTCCTGGCTGAACCGTCGGTGGCGGAAGACATCACGACGTACACTGGACTGGTGCTGTCCCTGATCTTCCTGTCGCTGGCGTTCATCTGCTTTTGTCTGCTGGGCCGCGAGGCCACCAACAGCAACAGCATCCACAAGAACATCACCGCGTGTCTCTTCCTGGCACAGCTTCTCTTCCTTGTGGCATTGAAAACTCGACACTCTCTCGTGCATCTTGATGTGAGCTCAAGTATCTCTTTAATTAAGTCATAAATTATGTTTTTTTTCGTCCATTGTTGTGCATATGAAAAGTTATAATGTAACGTTTATTTTCTGTCCGTTATTTTCGCAAGGAATAGCTTATTAATTATTTTCTATGTTGCTCATCAGTCATGTGATTGTCGCTCATTTCATTCATTGATGATTTTTGCATCGTATATATACGTACTCATATCATTAGTCTAGTTAAGTCGCAAGTTAAGTTTTAAAAACAGAAATAAAATTCCGAGCACACTCAACACATCTTATTTTTATTTTTAATTATTGGTAGACTATTTTTTCGTTGTCTGCACATGACGGTCGTTCATTGCGCTTAATTCTTATTCTTCATGAGCAGTTCCCGTGCAAGATGGTGGCAATAGGCCTGCACTACTTCTGGATGTGCGTGTTCACGTGGCTGCTGATCGAGGGCGTACACCTCTACCGCATGCTCGTCGAGATGGGCGTCATCAACCTGGGGCCCATGCGCTACTATTACTCAGCGGGCTACGGCTTCCCGGCCGTCATCGTGGGGCTGTCCGTCGGGGTGCGCTCCGATCAGTACGGCAACTACTTCTTGTGAGTGCACAGCGCATTAGGCTTTGCAATTATACTCTTATTATGGTAATGTTCCGGCAACTACTTCTTGTGAGTAACACGGCGCTTTGCAATTATACTCTTATTATGGTGATGTTCCATCAACTATACTTGGTATGTTTTTTTTTTGCAAAATTAGTAGTTGCTACAGTACGGCAACTACTTCTTGTGAGTGCAAGGCGCTTTGCAATTATACTCTTATTACGGTGATGTTCCGGCAACTACTTGGTATGTTTTTTTTTTGCGCAGCTCTTTGCAATTATGCTCTTATTACAATAATGTTCCCGCAACTACTTGGTATGTTTTATTTTTGGCAAAATTAGTAGTTGCTGCAGTACGGCTGCTACTTCTTGTGAGTGCACGGCGCATTGGGCTTTCAGTTATGTGTTATTTCGTGTAATTATGTCTCTGATAAATACTCTTGACTCAAGTCACTGAATCCTTGTTATAATCGGTGAAGTCGTCATTTTCTTCTGTTTGTATTATAATCATCATGGTTGGGTATAAGTTCACCATACTTTTTTAATTGCCTCAATTGTTGTCTTTATTTTTGTTTGCAACATTATTTTTGATTGCACAAGTTTTATCTTACTCCTTTAATTGCTTCTCTTCTGGCCATTGCTATTATCCGCATTAATATCATTATTACGGACAGCTGTTGGCTGAGTATCTACGAAGGCGTGGTGTGGGCGATGGTTGGCCCCATCACTGCTCTGGTGGCCATCATCCTGCTGGTGTTCTTCCTGGCCATCAAAGCGTCCATCACCGTCAGCAGCAACAAGGCCGTTGTCCACACCAAGTCCATCAGTGACACCAAGACCATTAGGTAATGCTGCTTTTCTTCAATTTTTTTAAAAGCATTTAGTATACCAATCGCGTTTACTTGGCTGGTGTCTTCTCTCGCGGCGACGCATGTCGGCAAAATAATTAAAGTTCTTCCTTTGATTTTAAAATCATTTACTTGCATCAAATTCTATTATTATTATTATTCGTAGTCAAACGTTTCGGTGCTATGATTTCTCAATGAATGCAAATTTAATTACTACGTGTCAAATCACTGGCAACTTTTTCTTCGTCTCCAGGACCTTGTTATGGGTAGGACTTCTTTTCCTACCTCTGCTGGGGGCGACGTGGGTTTTGTCAGTGTTGTCGGTGTCAGAAGACCTCGAGATTCTCCACTACATCTTCTCGTTGATGTCAGTGGCGACTGCTCTGTACATCCTCATTGGGTATTGCCTCATCAACGGCATTGCGAGAAGCTCTCTGCACGGCATCATCACCACGGGCAAGACATACGGCAAGACTGCGACTGTCACTCGCTCTTCCATGAGCTCCGTGAGTGAAGTGATCACTTCTTTCAACTCCTTAATACTTTTAATCTTGTTCTGCATATTTGAGCTTTGCAAGTAAATTCAAAATGCTGAGCATGTAAATTTTGCTGTAACTTTGGGAAAAATTAGCCAGAAATGATTATAATTAAAATATTTAAGGTGTTTATAACTTCTTTGTTCAGCGGTCAACATTCCCCTACAAAGACACGTTCAACGTTAACCGCCGTAACATCGGCATCTCGACGGCATCTACAACGTCGCGTTCGACGTGCAAAACGTCATCTTCTCCCTACAGCCGCAACGAAAATGACGTAACGTTGGCCGGCAACCCGGTGACGTCGAGCAACCACAGCAACAGCAACACCGACGTCAACTCGCAGAGCGTCAAGTCGCCTTACGCTTTCAATGACTCAACAACTTTCCACAGAAAGAAATGTGCGTTCTTGCATTTTGTATCGTTTTCTGTGCATTCAATTCTCCCTACTAATCGCATTGGCTCCCAAGCAACTCAGTATTATAAAATTTGTCTAAATCATTCAAAATTGAAGCTTATTCATTGATTTTTTTTCTGATAGATTTAGTCGAGTTGTGTTATTTTGTTTGGAAATGGCAATACTACTGTATGCCTTGGGACCGTTATTCTGGATTTCTAAGAAATGTATTCCTATGAAAGCTAGCCATAATTCAGGATATTTTATGGAACGGTATTCAGTAGAGAGGTGACTGTACTGCTGAATGTCTAAGGAATAATTTTATTTCTAAGAAATTTATTACTTTGAAAGCTCGCCATATTTCAGGATATTCAAGGAACTGATTCAGGATATTTAAGGAACGGTATTCAGTAGAGAGGTGACTGTACTGCTGCATAGAATACTGTGGAGAACGGTATTCAGTAGAGAGGTGACTGTACTACTGCTGCATGGAATACTGTGAAGAACGGTATTCAGTAGAGAGGTGACTGTACTGCTGAATGGAATACTGTGGAGAATGGCATTCTGTAGAGAGGTGACTGTACTGCTGCATGGAATACTGTGGAGAACGGTATTCAGTAGAGAGGTGACTGTACTGCTGAATATCTAAGGAGTTATTTTTTTCAGCTCGCGGCGAGCGCCGAGGAAGCGAGAGTGAGAGCGAGCTGAGTCTGGAGCAGCAGGCGAGCATGGAGCTCGCGTCGTCGCACTCCAGCGATGAGGACACCACCGTGCACAACGGCTCCTTGCGGGTCACGGACTGGCGCACTAATCCTGCTCCGCCTGGTCAGCGAGAATACATTTGTGATATTTTAACTTCTCTTGATTGTATTTTTGTGTGTCGCAATGAAATTCTTGTTGTTATGTTCAGCATATGTTCAGTCTTAAAATGCCTAGCAACTTACGGACCAGGCAACAAGTCCAGCAGCTATTTCAATCAATCGTCAGTTATGGAAAGATCGGGTTCCAAAGGCCGGATCCCTTGTGAATCAAGTCACGAAAAGTACAAGAATTAGCAACAGGCCATGGGCCTATTTCCTCAGTGCCGACACTTCTATTCTATTCTATTAGACTATTAGTTACAACCATACAGGTCCATACCTTCGTCAGATTCATACTCCGCCTTCCTGGTAAAAGATGATTCATTTTTGCTGCTTGGTCTTTTCCTTATTATGTTTTTTTTTGGTAACTGTAGAATTCTTGTCATCAGTTGCAACCATACGTATTCATTACTTCATTCGGATTCTTGCCCTTCCTGTCATGGTCAGCGACAATTCATTTTCGCCTTTTGAAATTTTAAAACCCATAACCTGATTTTTTTTTTTCTAATATCTCGATTTCACAAAATTTTCATTTCAAGTTGGTTAATTTATACCGCGTTACGTAAACACTAATTCCTGAAATTTCCATTCTTAATAACTGATTAACTATATCTTCTAACTCCACACAGTCCCTCCGAAGCCCTCAGCATCGTACCTGCCGAACATTTACGACCTGGACCACGGCGCCCCAGACGATGGGGAGGCCATGGGCCCCCAACTGATGCCCCCAGACCTCCCTCCCACAACATGTGCTGCAGACCCTGATGTCACCGTTGCAGGGGCTTCCCCCTCCCTCAGACACAACATCAGACCGGTGTACGCGCAGCACTGGTCTTCTCAGCTGCCACCAGCCTTCCCCTCACTTTACAAACGTCAGTTTTTTATACTCTATTTTATGAAGTACTGCTGTATGTTTGAACATTGAAGAGATAATTGTAGTCACTGTAGTGATCTAGGAAAGATTATGATCCTTTTTTGGTGAGTACCGGTATTAGGCGTTTGAGAGCACCAAAAAAAAACTGTTCATTTTTAGTTATCATGAGGGAACAATGTGGTCGAATAGTTCATTCGTGGTATATTCAAACCCTTGAGCGATCATAGAAAGACAAATTCCCAAAAATTATTTTTCTCTTGAATTAATCCAATGTAACGTTCAGTAATTGCATTCATAATACTCAAGATAATGTAGTTGAAACCATGTTACCGATATGGATTAGAGCAAATATTTCGAAGTCATTTGGGTGATGTAGAAATTTTTTCCTTTATTTCTCTTTACCGAACATTTGCATGTACAAGAAGTATCCTAAAACCTATGTGAAAAATTAGGCCTTTAAATACAAAAAAAAAGGTATGATTGAAGACGATTGATGATAATGCGGTGTTAAGTAACAAGAATGTAACAGAAGATTCTAATAACAACTTTGTGATAATGACACTAACAAAAAAAGATTATGAATATATATTATAATAAAAATGGCGTTATGATTGTAGCAGCTGGAGGGGACGGACCGGTGACGTCACCCCTGTGGGGGGGCAGCGTGGCGGGGGAGCGGTTGTCCACAACCACGGCGTCCGACAACGAGCTTACGGACGGCGGGGGTGGTGGAGACAACCTCAGGGTTGAAAACAGACCCCTGCACCGATACATGGACCAGGTACATGTTGTCAGGGTTGAGAACAGACCCCTGCACCGATACATGGACCAGGTACATGTTAGGGTTGAGAACAGACCCCTGCACCGGTACATGGACCAGGTACATGTTAGGGTTGATAACAGACCCCTGCACCGATACATGGACTAGGTACATGTCAGGGTTGAGAACAAACCCCTGCACCGATACATGGACCAGGTACATCTTGTTAGGGTTGAGAACAGACCCCTGCACCGATACATGGACCAGGTACTTGTTGTCATGGTTGAGAACGGACCTCTGCACCGATAGACAAAAAGGTTTTTAATTTGTAAATCCCTACTCATATTAATAAAGATCTGATGCAATGCAGCGGTCAATGCCTCTTATTCATCAAAGCGCCAGAACATATTATTCNTGAAGATCTGATGCAATGCAGCGGTTAATGCCTCTTATTCACCAAAGCGCCAGAACATATTATTCATGGACTGTGCCGCTTTCTGATGTTCTCGAAAGGTCCAAGGGATAATTAATAATATCAAAATTATTACTTTACAGAAATAGTTTTATCTGCTGATACTTAATGCTCACATCAAAGTAAACAAATTTTTATAGAAAGAATTGACTTGCGCCTCCGTAAATTGTAGTTCAAACGTTTTTTTTTGTCGCTTGTATTAATGATCTATTTTTTTGTGTCCCCCAACAGTCGCGGCCTCAGTACTCCCCAGTCACGGCTGATCCCCTCTACGGAACCTACTCCCCAAACTCCAGTAAACGTCACTTCTCCCCAGACGTCAAAAAGTTCCCCACGATGGACACAAAGCGCTATTCCCCTGTAGTAAATAAAGGCTACCCCTCAGACCCTCTCTCTAACATGTACAGTCATGATGCCAAGTCACAACAGCGATCGCAGAACAATTTGGACGCTTTAATGTTACGCAGCGAATCTCGAGCAAGTCGAGGGAGTGTGGACAGTGAACGGAGAAAATATTCCCCTCACCATCCTCTACAGGGGTCACCTCGCCTCGAGACAGGTGGCACCCCTCAGTCCCAAAAAAGATATCTCCACAACCTCATGGAAGGTGAGTACCTAGCCATTTTCAAGATTTTTTTGTGTTCTTAATAATAATAATAGCGGTTTCAGCGTTTATTAGGCCGTAGGCCCGTCGCCTATTCTGAACATCGCAGAACATTCACAGCATTTTGCGGTCTCGAACTCGCAACTCACTGCTTCAATTTTGTTTTGCTTAACCGCCCGGCCTCCTTGCCGATTAATCTTAATCTTAAGCATCGACTCGCCAAGAAATTACGACACTTTGTCTAAATATCGATGCGCATTTTACCTTTTTGTGGGTCAAACTGATCAAGTATGGCCAGATAAAGGCGTATCATAGCTACGAGTAGAAAGTGCGTCACAATTTGAAGAGATGATCCATTAATTTTTCTGGGTGTCTGCTGCACGTATGACGTTCATCGGTCTCTCATGACCAACTATTGACCCACTATTGACGACACTATAGAATAGAATAGAAGTGTCGGCGTTGAAGACATAGGCCCATGGCCTGTTGCTGATTCTTGAACTTTTCGTGACTTGATTCACAAGGGATCCGGCCTTTGGAACCCGATCTTTCCATAACTGACGATTGATTGAGATAGCTGCTGGACTTATTGCCTGATCCGTAATTTGCTAGGCATTTTAAGACTGTATCACCCCGCCGGAGTTGTTTTTTTGTTCGAGTTATACTGTCATTTTGTTTGATGCATTCTTTAAAATAAGTGTTGCACTGGAGTTTATTTATGATGTTCATAAATTATGCACTTTAATAGAAGCCTTGCTATCGCACTTCTTCTTCTTCATTAGCTGCTCTTATAAATAATCTGAGAAAAGTATCGGAATTTCAATTGAATCTTTTTACCTAATTATTATTCGTGTAGTCCCTGTTTCATGTTGATGACCACTCCTTACTTTCATTTTTGAGAACAAAGAACGATATTCATACCTAATCTTGGCATCCTGATAATATTCGATGCCCAACTATATTCATCTTCACTGAAAACCATTCATTTTGTTGTGTTTATGAGAAATAATTGCTACAGAAGTTAATATGTTTGTTTTTGAGAAAGTTAAAATTGCTGGTTGAACTTATTATTTTTAGGCCAATAGAAGGTTCACAGCCGAGTGTTTTTATCATTTCTGCTTTCTCTTGTTCTTCTCATGCGTTATCTCTGTTTGCCGGCATTTGTTTACTTTATTTCTATTAAGCACCACGTCACCAACGTCCGTAGTGTCACTGCTGTTCACTGATCTTTTACTAGATAGAAAGTTTCCTATATCCTTACTGTGTCACTGCTGTATAAAGGGGAAATGCAGGAATTTTTGTAGAATTCAACTGCTGTTGAATATTTTGGCCGGTTAATCAGAGCGTATACGAGTTGGTTCGGCCGGGAAAATAATATACTGCCGTAAAATTTTATTATGGCTAATCTTGAACTGAAGGAATTGATCCGCGAGTTATCGGTTCTTTTCATAAGCCGCTGGTAGTTGAGTAATTTGACGTGGAATTTAGTCGAGTGTTACTCTCCTTAGACCCGAGCCCTGAGGCATTACCAGCTCCCGTGGTCACGTCAATGGCCACATCGACCAGCAGCAGCAGCAACAACAGCAACGCTAATGTGAACGAGGTCAACAACTTGGACATATCTCCCTCCGACATACCTCCTCAACACCCTCCTCCCTCTATACCTACACCTTCCTCATCCTCGTCGTCAGAACTCTACGGACATGCACTCCCTGCTCGGTCCACTCCCTCCTTCATACCCCCAACCACGACCTCCTACTACCCCCCTTCCTCCCTTTCATCCACTCTACTTTCTAGTCACCGAATCCCGCCTCTCACCGCTGGGCTGTCCGATTCCGAGTGAGTGTTGTGGTGGCCCCGGCTTCGACTTCGTGCTTGCTGCTTTTATGCCAACAGCCTTGTTCGTTCTAACCATTGCCTGAATTCAAATTTTAATTCGCTCATTACTTACATTCCTGGTTTTTAGTGTCTGAAAATAAAAGTAACTAAAAGATTCTTTGGTTAGGTTAGAAACGAGACAGATTTTAACCCTTCCGTCATTATTGGAACCACTTCTGGATTTGAACGTAGATTGTGAAGGGCAAAACGACTGTGTAGATGCAACTATCTCTGTTAAACATCTGTAAAAAGAATACTAATTCAATTCAAGCCTTTCCAATCTTCGTGAAATCCTTTTGGGCTCCGAGTTTACTATTAATACCTACAATTAGAATGCTGTTTTCATCACCTTACTTTCAAAGTTGAGTTTTCTCTTCACGAAAACTAGTTTGTCTTGAAATAACCTCGTTTTCTATTGTTCCCGCTATGCTTGTTAACTAATTTGTAATTTTTGAAGCTTATGCAGAGTTTAACATAAATATATATTGATGGTTTATATCATTTTACTTATCGTTAATAAACTCTCGCCACAGTTAAGGTACATTCTACTATATATTTCATTTGGTTTGTCTAGTTAGCATCTCGATATCGAGATGGTTTTACACATATGGATGAACAGGTTTGAGTTTCTTGTGTTACCGCGTCCTTTTCTCGTTTTTAGCTTGAATTGTTTAAATAACTTGATGCATTGTATGCTTCCTGCTGTATGGGGGTGGGTGGGTGACATGCTGACTGCAGAATGAGGTGTCAGACAACATTGACTGTCGTGTGTGCATGAGTGCTGTGTAATGAGTGTAATTGCTGTTAGTAAACATCTATCAAAACAGACCGCAGTCGTGGTACACTTAGTCCAAGTACCATTACGACGACACAAAGATCAACTAACAATTGACTCTCAGTGTGGCTTAAATCAACAGCAGCTATGTATATGCCGTTATTGCGATACAACACAGTTCACAGCCAGTTCAAATTACCAATAATTAAAGCCTGGCATATTTTCAGATCGCAGGGATCAAAAATATCTTCGAAATAGAGTGGTTATTACAGGAATATTGTAACCACGGACAGTCGAGATTATGTGAGCCATTGCTAGTTATTTTAACCTCTCTATCGCATTTTAAGCCTACTGTCTCAATGTTCTCTGCACGCTGCATGTTGGAATAACCTCAAAAAGCTTCATCTTTATTTTCTGAACACGGTAATTTGTAAAGAACTGCATGAGCTTTATANCTGGCGCAGCTTCTCTTCCTTGTGGCATTGAAAACTCGACACTCACTTGTGCATCTTGATGTGAGTTCAAATATCTCTTCAATTAAGTTATAAGTTGTGTTTTAGTTTTAGAATAGAATAGAATAGAAGTGTCGGCGTTGAAAAAATAGGCCCATGGCCTGCATGGTTTTACATCAGCCGATGTTGTACATATAAAAAGTTATAATGTAAGAGGGGGTTTCTTCTTCTGGCTTTTCTTTTCGCAGGGCATAGCTTATTAATTATTTTCTATGTTGCTGGTCATGTGATTGTTGCTCATTACATTTACAGACGCGTTTTAGATCGTATATATACTTATTCGCATTCAAGAACAGACTAGATAAAGCTATGGAAAAATATAGGTTCAGACTTGAATGCCTAGCACGCTAACACCATATCGAACCCGGTGGAAGTCTAGTAGCTACTTCAAACTATCGTCAGTCCTGAAAAGATCCGGTCAAATGACACGATATTAGATCTTCTGTGAACAAGGCACGAAAAGGAAAAGAATCGGCGACAGGCCACATCAGGCCTACTCTTCAGCGCCGACATCACTGTGTTATGTTATGTTATCTTATGTTATATCATTCGCCTAGGTAAATTGAAAGTTAGAATTTAAAAGCAAAATAAAATTCCGATCAGATTTACCATATTTGACTTGCTTTTCAATTATTGACAGACTATTTTCTCGTTGTCTGCACATGACGGTTGTTCATTGCGCTTCATTCTTGCTTTTCATGAGCAGTTCCCGTGCAAGATGGTGGCTTGTGCCTGACTGAGCCGTGCTGGAATTACGACGAATGTCTCACCGTCCTCAAGTTCGGCAACGCCTCGAACTTTATCTCGTCCAACTCGGTGTTCTTCAGGCCTATCTATCCTGTCACCACCAACGCCTGTCGCTGTCCCAAGGTCTGATTAAAGCTTCTAAGTATTCCCTTTATCTTTCATTATTTTTGTATTATGCATATTATTTCTTGAATAATATGAAAAAATTACATTGAAAGTGATAAACTAAACTTGGTGGGTAATTATGGTTCAGAATTCTATGCATTTATAAAATTTAATTGGTATTTCTGGGACTGGTACTGCGGAATTCACGAAGCGAATTGTAATAATTTATTGGGATTATCAATTCTATTATTTTTGTCAACAAGTTGAATTTTTCAATTTTTTAATGCCATCGTCTGTACAGTTTTTCTATTTGGTGAAAAACTCGCGCATTTTCTACCGTGTTGATATATGTGTTAAGTGTTATACGGGGAGTGATATTGCTCTCATGATATTTACAGATCACGAGTTTTATTTTGAATTAGACAATTTATTTCATTAAGATTAATTTCATTAATATCAATCATGGTTCAGAAAAATTAATATCCATCTTGGTTCCAAAAATATTTTTGTAACTCTAGAAAGAATTCACAAAATCTTAAATTTTGCTCGTTGGTTTGGCAGGGTTTCACCGGGATGCAGAAGAGCTACGAGTGCGACACGGAGGTTGACCTGTGCTACAGCAGCCCTTGCGGCCACCACGGTACTTGTATGCCCAGGGAGGGCGGCTACACCTGTCTCTGTCTGCCCGGCTACACAGGTTGGTTTTGTAGCAGACAAGTCACGATGGCTTAGGTTACTAGCTACTTTTTTGTAGCAGACAAGTCACGATGGCTTAAGTTACTGTCTATATTTTTGTAGTAAACGAGTCAAGCTCGCTTAGGTTACTACTTACTAGCTACATTTTTTGTAGCAGACAAGTCAGGCTCGCTTAGGTTAGGTACTCGTTACATTTTTGTAGCAAACAAGTCACGCTCGCCAAGGTTGCTCGTTACATTTTTTGTAGCGGAAATGTCATGCTCGCTTAGGTTACTAGCTACATTTTCTTGATAATTTTGATTGAAGTTGGAAAGTTATAGTGAATTTCAAGGTGTAAAAGTAAGTTGTATCTGAAAGGCTTTCTCATGAATGCTTACTTGAACCTTTTAGATGTTAACATAGTGAACTGTCAAACAATTTCGGTACAGAAATTCGTGTACTCGAGAGTAATCATTATATTTATGTTAGAAGTTGCTTGCATATCTGATGAAAATGACATGGTATTGTGTGATCGCTCTTGTTTGATGAGTTATTTGCTGGTTGAACACAGCAAAGATCAAAAATAGACTCGCATGATTGCGGCACAAACTTACAAGACTGAAGTAGTTGTCTTTTTTTTGTTTAGTGTCCCTGTACTATTTTTAGCGCATTTTCTCATTAATGGAAAAAATGCACTATTGTATTAGCCATGTCCGTGCGTCCGTCCGTCCGTCTGTCCGTCCGTGACTTCACGTTATCGTCTACGAGAAAATGCGCTCTTTGTCACTCACTGCAGTGAATACCGAGTTACATTTTTTTACTTTCACTTCCACTTTGTGGATAAACCATCTTCTTTAGTGGATAAACCATTCTGATGAACCATCTTCTTATGGATAAACCATCTTATGGATAAACCATCATCACTTTATGGATAAACCACTAATGTAATGTTGCTGCCGTGCAGGCGTGAACTGCGAGGTGAACATGCTGAGCGGTCATTGCGTGGACGGCGTCTGCAGGCACGGCAGCCACTGCACCTCCATCAGGAGCGCCACCAGCGCCATGCTCTCCTCCATGCCCAGGTCTCGCACCACGTAGTTATTTCTTATTTGCTAATTATTAATTGAATGTTAGTATTTATTTTTCAATTATTGATAACTATATAATTTAACGTGCCTGTAATTTATTATAAGTTATAAAAGCTCTCCTCCATACCCAGGTCTCGCATGACGTGGTGTACGGCATTTAGGGCTTGCTAATTTATTTCCTATTTGCTAATCATCAATTGGATAGGTATTATTAATTATTTTTGAGCTGTTGGTACCTAAGTATTTAATTAATTACGTGAACGGTTCAACCATAGCTTACAATTTACCGTGCTTGTAATTTATGTCATGGTCATAAATGCAAGTGAACACCTAATTGGTCTTCAATTGAAAACTGAAAACAGATTCAAATCTTCGAATAGGAGTCGGTCAGTATATCAATTGTGTTGAAAAAAGTCATCGCTTCGCTCCTGTCTAATTCTTTATTTAATTTCTTTACTTGTGTTAGACTTTGGTCTGCGTTTTTACATTTTCACAACAGTTTAAATAATGTTGGTATATTACTAAATTCCTAATTTTGAAGTTTTATAACAAAACGGTACCGTTTCATTGTGAAAATTTGTTAAGATTTTAATTGAAAATTAACTGTTTCATCAGATCTCTGGCATCTCGTCTCCCATCTACCACGTCTCTGGAGACAGGCGGCTTCACGTGTTCGAACTGCACGCGTTCACTGTACCACACGTCTACGTGTGAGCTGCGCGCACGTCGTTTCGCTAAGGGATCCTTCTTGACGTTCCCAGCCTTGAAGCAGCGCCATAGGATGCTCCTCAAGATCAGCTTTGCCACCAGAACCTCTGATGGCTTGCTGCTCTACAACGGTCGTTATAATGATAAACATGACTTCATTTCGCTCGAGATCGTCGATGGTGCTGTGGTTTTCTCGTTCAACCTCGGCGACGACACGACGAGAGTGGCTGCGTCTCTGCCGCACGGCGTTGATGATGGAGACTGGCACACAGTCACTGTTGACTACCTCCACAGGGTGAGAAATTTCACCTTTATCAATCAAATATATTTATTTGGTTGATTTTATTTGTAAAATACTTCTTATGTCCTCCACAGAGTGAGAAATTTCACGTTTATACATCAAATTTATTTATTTGGTTCATTTTATTTGTACCATACATCTTATGTCCTCCACAAGGTGAGAAATTTTGCTTTTATACATCAAATATATTTATTTGGTTAATTTTATTTGTACTATATATCTTATGTTTTGTACTCTGTAAAAATCAACTCAAATGAAAATCTTTTTGGGTTTATTATTTTGGAATAAATTTTGCGACCAATATCTTGGAATTAAATTTTAAATATTAAACTCCAATTTTATTAAAAATCGCGTCAACATTGTACCAAAAGCCACCCGTACAATCGGCCTAATGTTAACAATTTTACGACTTACTGCGTAGATTTTCCATCAAGTTTGTTATTCTTTTAGCCGTACGTTTTGGGTGGATGCACCGCACTTGTCGGCTTCCTGTTTTCATAGTTTCTGCTTCACTGTGCGCAGTGCCATCAAACATTATAATTTCACTACAGGTTGTGGCGCAGTTTCATTACCCTAACAAAATTTAGAGTCTCCCCAGCTTCTGGTAATCCAGATCAGAAGCTGCCGCGTCTGTAAATTTTTGCTGGGTAAACATTATAATTTCACTTCAGGTTGTGACTGTGAGCATCGATGACTGCGACACTGCCGTGGCAGTAGGTCATGGGGATCGAGTGGGCGGCTACTACTGCGCGAATACTACCACGAAGCAACTGCCGCCGAGGTACAGTACTACTTGCAATTATCATTTTACGTTCATGAAATTACCGTATTTTTCTTCATGGTAGGTCGTGCTTAATGTTCCAAGTGAACTTTTGAAAAATCATGACGCACTAATCGATGAAGCCTTCCCTATTTTACTCTTGTTTACCCGTAGGTGAGGTTTTGAGGGAGGCGGAGGTCTTTCAAAAAACTGAATAGAAAAAATAAAGAAAAGAAGAATATTTTTTCTTATATTTTCAAAAAAAAATAAAAATGCTGGAAAATATTCGCCACCGCCTCCATTTTCACACAGCAGCGCAACCCACTCGCAAGCTTTGTAACTTAGGAGCCCTCAGCACGATCAAAGCGAAGGGCCTATAACTCTGAACAACTTGCGGAATATTTGGCCGCGAAAAGTATAAATGCTTGTACTATTGTATTCTTGGAATCACAGAAAAAATCAAAGAAAAGCCTAATTTGCAGGGCTTCTGATTGTTGCGATTAAACTTACAAACTTCCTTGTTTTGGTCTTGACTTAGGCCTAAAACCTGTCCAATTTCATTATTTACGTTGTTCTTTTACACAGTAAGTGATTCTTTCTAGGTAATGTTGCATTTTGTGTTATTAATGTTATATTTTTTCTAATCGTCATCTTTAAGTCCGCCGCACTTTTCTACGTGTAATCCCATGTTTTCATCCCAGATGTGCGAGTCACCGTGCGACCTGCAACAGGTTCCTGGACCTGACAGGGCCCCTGCAGGTGGGAGGCCTCCCCTCGCTCCCCGAAGGTCGTCGTGTGCAGCAGCAGGACTTCTTCGGCTGCATCGCTGACCTCTACATCGACCATAAATTTATAGACCTTAACTCGTAAGTTCTTACTTTCAGCATAGTTGAACATTATCCAACATTTGAATACTAAGAGAGTAAATGTTTCTTTTATCGGGGTCTTATCGTTTATTGACTAGCAATTTGAATTCGTCCGTAATTTATTTCGTCAGGTACCGACGTACCGCGTAGATTTCCATCAAGTGTATTATCGTTTCAGCCGTACGGTTTTGAGTGGCTGCGCCTTACTTGTCGTCGTCTTGTTTTCTTAGTTTAAAATGATGCTTCAAGTTTGTCACTTAATAGCTTAATTTAGATTCAACAAGAACCGTACTTAGGAATCATCGCATTAACCGTGACTGTATACCGTACTGATGACCGTACTGTGCTGATGGCCGTACCGTGCTGATGACCGTACTGTGCTGATGGCCGTACCGTGCTGATGACCGTACCGTACTGATGACCGTACCGTGCTGATGGCCTTACCGTGCTCATGTTCATGCGGATGATACTTGTCGCGCAGTGCTCGATATTTGAATGCTCTGATTGCATGCCGTTTAAATAATCACTGAACGTCTGGTTGCATTTCGCGTTGTCAAGATGCTATAGCCGCAGGTTTGAAATTCAAATGACCAGTCGTGGCCGCTCCTTGTATATTTATGACGCTCTGATGTTGGAGTCTCAGTCGTATGGACGACTCGAAGCTCCGCGTGGCCGTTATTTCTCGAAACTTCAGCCAACGGCCGCGAGCTGTCACCATAAGTCTGTGGAGATGATAGCATGCATACCGTACTTGTATGACGGTTACAACACAAGAACAACCATTTGGTGCGAATTTGACACCCTTATATCCTCAGGTGCCCCTCATCCATGCGCCTAGCAATGAGCATCGCTCATAGCAACAGTGTCGAGTTTACCTTGGTCAGCGCTTGCGATGCCGTCGGCGGCCGATATAACATGCGAAGAAGCTCGTTCCCACGTTATGTTACCCAGTCTCTTTGTCTAGCCATTGCCCGTTTCAATTAACATAACATAGTGATGTCGGCGCTGAAGCGTAGGCCTGATGTGGCCTGACGCCGATTCTTTTACTTTTCGTGCCTTGTTCACAGAAGATCTAAAATCGTGTCATTTGACCGGATCTATTCAAGACAGACGATAGTTTGAAATCGCTACTAGACTTCCACCGGGTTCGATATGGTGCTAGGCATTTCAAGTCTGAACATATATTTTTCCATAGCTTTATCTAGTCTGTTCTTAAACGCGTTCATACTTGAAGCGCCAACGATGTAATCAGGGAGGCTGTTCCACATGTCGGTGATTCGAAGCGAGAAGAAATGTTGGCGCGTGGAGAAGTTGCAGCGCAGTTTTTTTTTAGTTTGCTCAACGGCTTTCGACTACCTACTCTCTACTTCTTTGCACGATCTATGTTCATCATAATAATATTAGGCGAAGTCGGGAATACATATTTATTCACATTTACCTAAAACTCTGGTGTATAGTGTAACCTAACGTACATAATCCCCTCTGAATGTTTACAAATTTATCGATCCCAAAGTGCAATGTTTCTTCATTTGCTAGTTCAGTTTTTTACTTTGTCTTTCTCCTTCTGAATATTCTAACTTCAATGCGATGACAATTTTCTCGCTCTTCCAG